TCAAGGGAGTCCAGGGAGGAGATTTTACCACTGGGTTAGGGGAAGGGCAGTTCTGAGGTTGCCTCTGGGGGCTTCTGACCTCAGCCCCCAGCTGTGCATGAGCTGTGCAGAGGAAGAAAGTCTAGGGCTCTAGGCTGCCCTCTAGCTCGGGCCCCTCTCTCCCTCTCCCTGTCCCTGCAAGGGCCTCGCCCCACAAGAGAAATCAAAGTGATGCGTGTTTCTTTAATAGAACACCACAAATAGAAGATGCACAAATGCACTTCCCTCATCTCTCTCTCCAGTAAAGAAACGGAATTGGGAGTGTTTTTATAATATTGCCATTGTGTGCCAGGGGGTTTGAGCCAGTATCATTGGCAAATGTAAGCAACTCTTTGTCCCTCTTTGATGTGAGTTTTCCTCGTTGTACCTACCTTGAGCTTTTGTTGAATCCTACACTGGTTCTTGGAGTACTCCAAAATTTCATTTGGTCAGTACTTGCTGGTAAGTTCTAAGTGCACTCACCTGATTGCCAAAATGGAAAATTTGTTTCTTTCAGCTATGTCACCTAAAGATAACCAGGCCTTTATGCCAAAGCCCGGAATACAAGATTTATTCTCTGAAATAATACTGCTAATATATAAAAGGTGTTGCAAAAAAATAAATAAATAAATAAATAAATAAAATAAAAGGTGTCGCTTTGATAATGTACACTTAATGAAAGCCTTGAAATTTGAGGAAGAGTGTGATGACAACAGAGGATATTAATATAAACAACTAATCTGGAAAAATTAATATAATAAACTTCTTTTTACCTAAAGAGGTCAGGTATATTATGAATTTGGGAAACCTCCCAATTTAAAGTCAATTTCATTGGCAGATCAGTGTGTTTGTGCACATGAAGGTTGAAAACAAATTTTTACTGTTATGCATTCTTGGAAAGGAAATCTGGAAAAACTAGAAATTCGCATAGTCTGTAGTGTAAATAATTTGCATTGTTTAAAATGCAGGGTGGGATTAAACTTCATCAATTATTTCTAAAATATTTAGATTTATAATGCACCTATAAAATTAAAATGTGCTCAATTTGACAATGTTTTATGATTTTTTAATTAAAAAATATATTTTAATTGATTTCAGAGAGTAAGAGAAAGGAAGAGGGAGAGGAAAACATCAATGATGAGAGACAATCATTCATTGGCAGCCTCCTGCATGCCTCCCACTGGGGTCTGATCCAGCAGCCAGGCCATGTGCCTTTACTGGGAATGGAACCGTGATCTCCTTATTCATATGTCAAAGCTCAACCACTGAGCCATGCCGGCAGGCAATTTGGTAATCTTTTATTTATTCATTTTTATGATTATAATTTTAAAAAATATATTCTTTTAATATTTTATTGATTTTTTACAGAGAGGAAGGGAGAGCTATGGAGAGTTAGAAACATCGATGAGAGAGAAACATCGACCAGCCGCCTCCTGCACGCCCCCCACTGGGGATGTGCTCACAACCAAGGTACATGCCCCTGACCGGAATCAAACCTGGGACCCCCCCAGTCCACAGGTCGACGCTCTATCCACTGAGCCAAACCGATCAGGGCTTAAAAAATATTTTTAATGATTTCAGAGAGGGACAGAGAGAAACATCAATCATGAGAAAGAATCATTGATCGGCTGCCTTTGGCACACTCCCTACTGGGGATAGAACCCACAATCCAGGCTTGTGCCCTTTACTGAAATCGAACCCAGGACCCGTCAGTCTGCAGGCCCCCGCTCTATCTGCTGAGCCAAACCAGGTAGGACAATTTGGTAATCTTTCAAACAAGGATTCATCCTTCTTTCTCTGACAATAATTTTTTGTATTTATTTTTTGTCTAATATATTAGGACAGCTTTTGTTATACAACCATCTTGTTTTAATGTGTATCACAAAATTGTTTTTATGGAACAAGTGGACATGTTTAATGAAATTATAACTGTTACTAAAGGTCTTTCTAGCTCCCATAATCACCAGAGTACACATAATGGAGATAGAAGTTATCAATGGATTGAACATTGGAAAAACATTAAGCTAGAGTCATATTTTAATCATTGGAAAGTGAGCTGGCATAGGAGCATCATAAAAGAGGAAAAGTCTTTGACCAAATGTCCAATCACAATATACGTCAGGTTATTCCTGTGAGGCTGAGACGGCCCCTGTGAGGCTGAGATGGTCCCTGTGAGGTTGAGACTGCCCCTGCGAGGCTGTGACAGCCCCTGTCAAGCCAGCCGAACCGTGGGAGCCTCCCAGACGGCTTCGTAGATGGCCCTCGAATCAGCGCGCAGCCCCAAGCACAACTATCACCTGAAGGGTGAGAGGGGCGAGAGCAGTTGTAGTGTTGCTTTCTCCTCACTTTTGGTAGCGAAATCCTCATTTTAAACGTAAGAGGACACATTATTTTAAAAAACCGTTACGTGTCCCCGTACCCTTTCTGAGTAGAGTAAGAACAAGTCGTGAGAGACCTTTCCGAACACAGGGACACATCGTGGATGGAAATAGCTACATTTTCCATGTGTATGACCTTTGACCCGGCAACAAAAAGCATACACGTATGGGTGAGGACAGTGGGGGTGGGGGTAAGGGCAGAGGTTGGGGTGGGAACTGGGTGGTGGGGAGCTATGGGGGGAAAAGGGAACAACTAATCTGAACAATAAAGATTTTTTTTAAAAAAAAGATTCTCTGAAATAATACTGCTAATATATAAAAGGTGTCGCTTTGATAATGTACACTTAATGAAAGCCTTGAAATTTGAGGAAGAGTGTGATGACAACAGAGGATATTAATATAAACAACTAATCTGGAAAAATTATCATAATAAATTTCTTTTTACCTAAAGAGGTCAGGTATATTATGAATTTGGGAAACCTCCCAATTTAAAGTCAATTACATTGGTAGATCAGTGTGTTTGTGCACATGAAGGTTGAAAAAAAATTTTACTGTTATGCATTCTTGGAAAGGAAATCTGGAAAAACTAGGAATTTGCATAGTCTGTAGTGTAAATAATTTGCGTTGTTTAAAATGCAGGGTGGGATTAAACTTTGTCAATTATTTCTTTTTTTCTTTTTTCCTGGCATAAGCTTTTTTGTAAAAAAATTAAATATTGTTTAGATTATTACAGTTCCTCTTTTTTCCCCCCATAGCGCCTCTCTACCCGGTTCCCACCCCACCCTCTGCCCTTACTGCCCCCCCCCACTGTCCTCATCCATAGGTGTAAAATTTTTGTCCAGTCTCTTCCCGCGCCCCCCACACTCCCCCCCCCCCCCTAGAATAGTCAGTCCACTCTCTTTCTATGCCCCTGATTCTATTATATTCACCTTTCAGTCCGCAGGCTGATGCTCTATCCACTGAGCCAAACTGGTTAGGGCTCCATTGTCAGTTTTAAGGAGGAAATTCACTAGAATGTGGAAAGTTGGAGATCACTTTTATCACATTTCTGGAGGTTGCATTTGCCCCTGAGGCTTGTATCCTCTCCCACAGAGAAGGCTCCTGTTTGATGCAGGTAAGGCTTCATCAGGGTTTATGTCGGGGCATATAGAAATTTTTTGATATTTGCAATCATAGTAAAACAAAGACTTCTATTTTTGATATTTATTTTATATATTTAAAGGCCATTTAGCAAAGAAAAATCAACCAAAAAAATGAGTTTCTGTGTCACCTCTGACACCCGTGGCATAGGTTCGCCATCACTGAACTAGGTTATAGGGACTACTAAAGCAAAAATACTCATTTAACAATGCATTGAAAGCCCTAACTGGTTTGGCTCAGTGGATAGACCCTGGGCCTGAAGGGCATGTACATTGGTTGCCGGCACATCCCCCGTAAAGGGTGGGGGGGGGTCAGCTGATTGATGTTTCTCTCTCATCGATGTTTCTGACTATCCCTCTGTAAAAAATCAATAAGATATAAAAAAAATTATCTTTAAAAAAAAATGCATTTCAGGAACACAAAGACTTCAAAGACCACAACTTACAACCAGGAAATGTTTATCCCTTGAAAAATACATGAATTAAAATCTGTTTCCTACACTGTTGGATGGACTCTTATCTCATCAGGTGCCCAACCATGAATGGATAGTATCTGGGTCTGTCTGAAACCCCCATCCACCTGCTTCCCTAAGTCAAGCTGCCTCTCCCTTCACTTGGGGAGACAGGGAGGGGCTGAGAGAGCAGGCTGCCCTTCCCCTCCCCCCTCCTCACTGAGGGTTTAAGGATCCACGTTAATCGCAGGCAGAAAGTTTCTGGTTTCAAACCCGACCAGCCCGACTGTTGAGTTCCCTGTAACTTCACTGTAAGAATGTGTTCCTGGCTTGTGAAGATCCTGGGAAAGACCCCTCCCTGGGACACCTGCAGCTGAAGGGCAGACCAGCCAGTAGCTCTAAGCACAGCCTCTGGGAGCTGGGAAACTTCTGTGTGAATTCCAGGTTCCTCTTCCCCTTTTTATGCTTTTGCCACAGCTGCCATTTACTCGCTAGCACCCTAATAAAGGAGCAGCCCCTCTATCTGCGGTGCCTTGTGCCATCAGAGGGCCCCTGGCCCTTTCCTCCCTTTAAAGAAGTAAAATAAACGCCCTCCCTCTGCTCCTGTCTCTTCTCTCCCTTGTGAATCCTTTCGCAGCCGCGTCACCAGCCAAAACCCTGACAATGACGTGGGAAACTCCCCCAGGAAGGGCTGTCCCTGTGGGAGGAGGTGCGGGGACCCGGGGCTGCCCCCTCGCTCCTGCCCCGCCCTCCCTCCCTCTGTCCCTGCACAGGCCTGGCCGCCGGGCTCGGCCCCGCCCCCATCGCGGAGCCGCTCAGCTCAGGCTCTGGCCCCGCCCACCCGCAGGGAGGCGCATGCGCAGTTCCTTGCAGACCCGGAACCGGCTGTGGAGGGCAAGGTGGAGGTTCCCCCTGAGGAGGGTGTTTGTCTTTAAAGCTGACGCTGCCCGTCCCCCTCCCCGCAGGGAAGGCTGAGGGCGCTGCCGGCGCTGAAGTCCTTGTTGGGGTCCCCGCCCCGGAGCCTCTCTCAGCGGTGAGTCCGCGTCCCGGGAGGCTGCGCGGTGCGGGCGCCACGTTCCTTTGGGAGGAAACGGAGGCCCGGCCCGGGGTCTCTCCGCCTGTGGCTGTGGCCACCGCCTGCCGCGCGGTTTTCCTGCTGAAAACCGTTCCCGGGGCCGCCGGTCCTCCCCGCGGGGCTGAGAGTCTGGGTCAGGGGGTTCCCGCCCTTTGCGCCCCTCCCCCAGCCCGGCGCTTTCCTCCCAAAGAGCCTGGATGGCTCCCGGCCTGGGGGTCTGCACCCCCCTCCTAGGCCCACCCCCATTTAATAAGGGGTCTGCCTGCCCGGGGAGCACAGTGTCCATGGGGGGGGGGGCTCAGGGGGAGGACGCGGTGTCCCCTGAAAAGGTGACCTGTCCGCAGGGAGGGGCTTTGTGGGCGCGGTGACTGCGGGGGGCGGGGGCCCAGGCTGGGGGGTCAGGAGAGGGAGTGAGAGACAGACACGTGGGCGGGAGGAAGGGCAGCGAGGGGTCCACAGAGAGGGGCCCATAGGGGTTGGTGGGGGGGCTGGACGGCGACGGTAGGAGTGAGGGGGTCACTCGGGAAAGTGGCCTGAGGAGGAAGGAAGTGGAGACACAGGGAGGAGCGGGGATAAGGCAGAGGCGGTGACAGGCAACCAGGCCGGCAGGGGAGGGCAGTTATGGGGATCAGGCAGGCAGGTTGTGAGCTGTTAGGAGTCAGAGACTTGGATTGTGAGAGGGATGTCCGACTGCCGATTTATGTATAATAATAAAAGGGTAATATGCTGATTAGACCAGACATCTTCCAGACAACCATCTGGACATCCTTCTGGACAAAGCCACAGTGGTGGGGGTGGAGGCATGTGTGGTTGGGGGCAACCAGTCTGGCAGGAGAGGGCAGTTAGGATGGCAGTTAGGGGCCACAAGGCAGACAGTTGAGGGCAGTTAGGGGGGACCAGGCCAGCTGGGGAGAGCAGTTAGAGTCAGTAAGGCCAGCAGGGGGGGGGGGGGGCAGTTTGGGTTGACCGGGCCTTCCAGGGAGGGAGGGCAGTTTGGGGGATCCAGGACTGCAGTGGAGGGCAGTTAGCGGCAACCTGGCCGGTAGGGGAAGGCTGTTGAAGTTAACAAGGCCGGCAGGGGAGGGCATTGGGGTTCAGGCCGGCCAGGGAGGGCATTTAGGTGGATCAGGCCAGCAGGGGAGAGCAGTTAGGGGGATCAGGCCAGCAGGAGAGGGCAGTTAGGGGGATCAGGCCAGCAGGGGAGGGCAGTTAGGGGGATCAGGCCAGCAGGGGAGGGCAGTTAGGGGGATCAGGCCAGCAAGGGAGGGTCGTTAGGGGCAACCAGGCCAGCAGGGGAGTGCAGTTGGGGGTGACTGGGCAGGCAGGGGAGGACATTTAGGGGGATCAAGCTGGCCGAGGAGGGCAGTTAGGGGGATCAGGCCTGCAGGGGATGGCAGTTAGAGGGATCAGGCAGGTAAGGACAATGGTTAGGGCATGCAAGCAGGTGTTCAGATAGGAGCCAGAGGTCCCGCATTGCGAGGGGAAAGTCTGACTGCCCGTTTAGGCCCGAATCATATGGGATTGGGTCTAAACTGTCAGTCAGATATCCCCCAAGGGGTCCCGGATTGGAGAGGGTACAGGTCAGGCTTAGGGACCCCCTCCCCCACCCCCCCCGCACAAATTTCATGCACCAGGCCTCTACTTTTGTAATAATTTGCTTCCAGTTGCAACTCTTATTCACTCAGAGGGGAGAGACTTGTCGGTTGCTCATGGGTCATTCCTCGGATGGCAACGAGGAGGTGACCTGGGTTTGTCACCACTTGATGCCTTTTCACGGAATATTAGAAGCCTTAGCTTTGTTGCTGTGGTGTTTTGTGTCTCTCTCTGTGTGTGCTGCTTCCATGGATTTACTTTTTCTATGTCTGACACTTAATTTATTATTTAAAAACATCCTGAGATAAATTCTCTGGGTTTTCCCAGATCCCCTGAGGAGCTTCTAGAAATGCTTTCAGGTGGGCTTTCCCCCATGGAGTTGGACAGCTGCTCTGGGTGGGGCATCATTGGTTACTGAGGGCCTCCAGGTGATGGAAGGTGAGGACAGGGATTAGCAGGAGGGTTGCAGGATGCCTTTGTGAGAGTGGGGAGCAAGCTTTGTTCAAGGGAGTTAAGGGGGTGCTCTGTTTGGGGCATCGGGACAGCAGCTCACATTCTCATTTCTGTAGGAGGTTGTGGAAGTCTTTGAAAGGAGAGACACATGAAGACATACATTCAAAATTTCACAGTGTGGTCTCCATGTAGGAACTCACTGTTCCTCACTCTCCTGTGACCAAGGACAGGAGAGAAAAGGACAGCCTTTTCCTCATTTCCAGGTCCTTCTGACTGTGAATGTGAGGGGAGCTCATTAACAGGCTGTGACTCCTCAACATAGTGTTACCTGAGGAAACGTCCCAAACCCCGATCAGGACCACGATCAAATGGCTGCTTCTCAGGTAAAAGATGTGTCCTTGGTAACAGGCTGTTTGCTTTTCTTTGAACATCTGTGTATATATTTCTCTTTCCCTTCCCACACCTGTGCCCCTCTGCTGCCTGTTACAATCTGTCTTGTTACCCACAGTGGGCTGACTCAGTGCTGCTTCTCCCTCTGCTCTGTCATCCCCAAACCCCCCATTGTGTCCCTGCACTCCCTCCCCCAATTCTTCACCTTGAACCAGTCTCTCTACCTGAAGTGCCTCCCCTTTTTTGCCTCCACTTCTGTTCACCAGGACCCCTCTCCCTCTCATTCCCCTTCATCTCTCTGGGGCTCCTTCCTCTGTTCCATATTTCTCTACTTTTGGTGTTCTTGCCTTTCCAGGTTTTTTTCCTTTCCTTATTTGTTTCCTTTTTTATTTTTTTTTCCAAATATATTTTTATTGATTTTTTACAGAAAGGAAGGGAGAGGGATAGTTGTTAGAAACATCCTTGAGAGAGAAACATCGATCAGCTGCCTCCTGCACACCTCCTATTGGAGATGTGCCCACAACCAAGGTATATGTCCCTGACCAGAATCAAACCCGGGATCCTTCAGTCCGCAGGCCGACACTCTGTCCACTGAGCCAAACCGTTCAATGCCTTTTTCCTTTTTTCTTATCATAGTCAGTGTCAGCAATTTCTATATTTCTCTCTCTCTTTTTTAATGTATGTTTTTATTGATTTCAGAATGTAAGGAATAGGGAGAGAGAGAGAGAGAGAGAGAGAAAAAGAAACATCAATGAGCAGAGACAATCATTCATCAACTGCCTACTGCATTCCCTCCACTGGTTATCCAGTCTGAAACCTTGAGTGTGCCCTGACCAGGAATGGAAACCTGCCCTCCTGGTTCAGGGGTCAACACTCTATCTCTGAGCCTCACTGGCCAGGCCCTATTTCTCCTTTTTCCCAGAGCCTTCTCTGCCTTTATTTTATGCAGCCTCCCCAAGGTCAGGAAGCATTCCCTCCTTTAATTAACAACTTTCAACTATTCAGAACATCCCTTTTGTGACAGATCCACCTGGAAAGGCAGGCATGTCTAACATCCCTATTGGGATGGGGTCAGAGGCTCTTGTGTCTTGAGGAAGGGAAAGGTAGGTTTTAGATTCAAGTGGCTGCCGCATCAGCTCTTGATCAGAGGTAAGAAAATGCACATTTTACTGCTCAGGATAGCTCAGAAAGTTTAGAAAGAAGAGTAAATAGTAAATAGAAGTGTCTTGCTCACTAGATTAGCACGAAATACTTAGCAGGTAAATATTCTATTAGCTTACAGAACATGAGAGGTATCTGTGAATTGACACTTGGAAAAATTAATGTTTATTTGTGATCATTTCCACATAATTCCTTCTTTATTGAGGTATATTTGGGAGTAATGTCACAGCAGTGGTGACCTGACGTTCTCAGGAACAAGGGTATAGTAGCGATTTAATGAAATTTGTGCAAAGACCATCACTTCACATCTGGAAATGTCCCTCTTCTTAGTTTGCGTTTCCTTTGGAAAATGAAGGACTTACTTTTATTTCCTACAGATCATTGGCTTTTGCATGGGAGCTTTAACTAATCAGGTTTGATTCTTTAAATTTTCATTATATTCTATACTTCCCTCATGAACATACCCTATATGATCACTTTTTGTATTTTCTAGGAAGTTTCCAAGAATGATATTATTAATGTATGTTCAATTTCATTAAATTTCTATGAAATAGCTCTCCACTAATGACATATAAAAATGTTGAAGGAATTGTACTGATAAGAAAAATTAGTTCCCCCAGGCTGGTGTGGATTAGGTTTCAATTCTTGGTCCTGGTCCTGGGCAAGTAGTTTATGGGTATCTGTGGTAGGCAGTGAATACATGTATCTCTGTGTCTCTTTCAAATTGATGTTTCTCTCTCTCTCTCTCAGTCTCTCTCTGTCTCTGTCTCTCTCTGTCCTTTTCACCCTCTACCTCCCTGCCTTCCACTCTCAAAAACTCAATGGAAAAAAATCTCCCCACGTGAGGGTTTCCAACCACAAAAAGGAAACTAGGTTTAACTTGTTTTGTATGCTTATGTTTCTCTCCTTATCCTATATAATAAAGAGCTAATATTCAAATGGTCTTCACGCCCTCATGCCATCAGGCTGTGATGCCTTCACGCTGTCACAATCCATCACCAGGAGGTTGCATGCGTGTGGAGCCGTGGAGGCGGATCCCGATGTCGCGGCAAGGTTGGGGGTCCCCCTGAGGCCGCGCCCCTTGCCCCAGCACCGGGATGGGAGGCTGGATCCCCCACCTGGCAGAGCTTGACTTGGGTGGGGCCGGCTGGGTCTAGGTGTTGCCCAATGGAGGTGAGTCCAGCCGGACACTTCTGTTATAGAGAAAGGGCAAATAGCAATATTAAAATATTACCTCTAATTTCCTTTTAATGTGCACGAATTTCATGCACCGGGCTACTAGTTTGTTTATAAAACACAAAGAGGATCATACACAAATAGATTCATGAGATTTACAGAATCACTAAACCATCTTGATTTCATAGTTGTAAAATCTGTGTCTCTGTGCTTTAATTGTTAACATTATTTTTTCAGCTATTTTTTCTTTTTTTTTCTCAAGTACATATTTATCTATTTCAGAAATGAAGGTAGAGGTAGAGAGAGATAGAAATATCAATGATGAGAGAGCAATATTGATCGGCTGCCTCCTGCACACCCCACACTGAGGATTGAGCCCATAACCTGGTCATGTGCCACGACCAGGAATCTAATCATTGACCTCTTGGTGCATGGTTCAGTGCTCAACCACTGAGCAACACCAGTGGACCAAGCAGAATAATCTTGTTCTAAGATTATTCATAGTGTATTTCTAAATAGGATTGTAGTTCCTATGTGTCCTATTTCATGAGAACTGAATTCCATTAACAAACCTTTTTAGTTCAAAGTTCCATATGAATTTTTTCTTGTGTTTTCTTTTTCTGAGTATTCAAATGTATGGCACATGATGCAGAAACATAGGCATCACAGGTAAAAAGTGATCTTGTGACACATGTGGAAAACACAGGCCCCATCTCAGAACCTGGATCAGAATCTGTGTCTCTAAAGAAGTTCATTTCTTTGTGGTCTACTTCACACTTGAGAAGTCCTTGTACTTCCAAGCGAGCATGACATTTCCAGCTGAAAATGACATACACCACTGACCCTGAGCAATGCAAACAAAGCATTCAGAAATCTATATGCCTGTGTCCATACCTTTATTTTATTATTTATTTATTTTAAAATATATTTTTATTAATTTTTGAGAATAAAGGAGAGAGAGAGAAACATCAATGATGAGAGAGAATTATTGATAGGCTGCCTCTTGCTCACCCCCTACTGGGGATCGAGCGTGCAACCAGAATTAATCCCGCGACTTTTTTTTTACTATTTTTTATTTTGTTTTGTTTTGTTTTATTTTATTTATCCTCATCTGATATTTTTCCATTGATTTTTAGGGAGATTGGAAGAGAGTGGGAAACACAGATAGAATCATCGATGTGAGAGAAACACATCGATTGGTTGCCTCCGACTAAAGCACGTGCCCTGACCAGGATCTAACCCAGGACCCTTTGGTCCGCAGGCTGGCGCTCAATCCACTGAGCCAAACCGGCGCTAGGGCAATCCCGGGACTCTTAAGTGCCTAGTCTGACACTGTATCCACTGAGACAAACTAGCCAGGGCTTTACCTTAATTTTAAAGTTTTTTTCCTGTAAACGTAAATCTATATCTGGAATTTGTTGACATATGTCATCCTCATTTGTCAGTGTTCGAAATCATATCAAGGAAAGTTACTGGGGCAAAGTGATCTTATGGGTGATTCAGGATACTCCCGTAGGTCCCAACCTCTTTTCCTAAGACTGTTTTCATGTTGCGTGACATTATGAACTCTTCTGGTGACCTCTTGGTAAATATTTATTTTCTTTCAGGGACCGTTGAACTTCAGGGATGTGGCCATACATTTCTCTCAGGAGGAGTGGGAATATCTGGACCCAGCTCAGCGGAAATTGTACCTGGAGGTGATGGTGGAGAACTGCAGCAACCTGGCCTCCCTGGGTGAGGATGACTTCCTTCCCTAGTTCCTACTCCACCTGCAGGGTTTTCCTTTATTATTTTAACATCTCTAGGTGCTTTTGCTTTCTCTTTTAAATTCTTGTTCTCAAGGGACAAATTGAGCCCTAACTCCTTTGGCTCAGTGGATAGAGCATTGGTCTGCAGACTGAAAAGTCCTAGGTTTGATTCTGGTCAGGGATGATTTCAGGGTTGCTGGCTGGCTCCCTAGTGGGGGGCGTGCAGGAGATATCCTATCAGTGATTCTCATCATTGATGTTTCTCTTTCTCTCCCTCTCCATTGCCTCTGAAACCAATAAAAAAATATATTTTTTTAAAAAGGAACAAATTGGGGGTCCTTAGGATATAAAAGAAAGGCTTTTTGATGAATGTGAATTAAGAACTCAGTGTTTGCACACATTACGTGCTGTCTATACTTATTAAGGTACTATCAGAAAAGAATATTTTAGAAAATCATTTTCTAGAATATTATAATATTCTACCACGTTTTCTGGCCAGATGACAGTCTGGATTGCAAATGGGAAAGCCTCTATAAAAATTCACACTCCATTTTCTTTTTTTTTTTTTTTTCTTTTTTTTCCCCCCTTTTTTTTTCCCCCCCATTTTCTTTTATTGTTTGATTTTTTAAGATTTTGTTGAATTCAGGGAGGAAGGACGAGTTAGGAGAGATAGAAACTTCAGCTGGGCATTAATTGATTTTTTTTTTAATATATTTTATTGATTTTTTACAGAGAGGAAGGGAGAGAGATAGAGAGCTAGAAACATCGATGAGAGAGAAACATCGATCAGCTGCCTCCTGCACACCCCCCACTGGGGATGTGCCCACAACCCAGGTACATGCCCTTGACCGGAATCGAACCTGGGACCCTTCAGCCCGCAAGCCGACGCTCTATCCACTGAGCCAAACCGGTTTCGGCAATTGAATTTTTTTATATGTGCCCTGACCATATGTGTTCTCTGTATAAATGGCCGGATATGGAATCACTGGTTTCCTGGTGTCTTTAGTAAGTATTGGAAAATCATTGTGTTTTGTTAGTGGCTGCACCAATGTATTTATAATGTTGCTGACAGTACATCACTGTTCTCATTTCTCCACTTAATTGGTAATACTTGTCATTTTTTATTGATTTATGGATGATTGGCATCCTGTTAGGTGTTCGGTGGTATTTCAGGTGGTGTCCATTTACATTTCTCTGATGATGAATGAGTTGAACAGTTTAACATCTTTTAATAAGTCCATTGGGAATCTTTATATCCTGTTTGGGAAATGTCTATTCAGGTCCTCTGCCCATTTTTCCATCATATTGTTTTTTTGCTGTTAAGTTGTGTGAGTTCCTTAGATATTTTGCATCTTTAGCTTTTGAGGATGTAACATGGCTTTTGTTGTTGCTGTTTCTCGGTGGTTTCTTTGGTATGCCAAACTTATTCTTTTGTAGTCTCATTTCTTTATTTTTTAGCTTTTTTGTTATGCTTGAAAAGATACATACAAACCAGTATTTTAAAAAAAACAAAAACAAAAAAAACAAACCAGTATTTTCCAGAGTGATGGTAAAGTTCATTGACTATGATTTCGTCCAATGTTTTCATTGGCTTCAGGTCTCAAATTTTAGATGTTAATCCATTCTGATTTTATTTTGGTTAGTGGCCTATTAATGGAGTCTAGTTTTATAATTTTTTATTTTAAATATATTTTATTGATTCTTTTTTTACAGAGAGGAAGGGAGAGGGATAGAGAGTTAGAAACATCAATGAGAGAGCAACTCGATCAGCTGCCTCCTGCACACCCCCTACTGGGGCTGTGCCCGAAACCAAGGTACATGCCCTTGACTGGAATCGAACCTGGGACCTTTCAGTCCGCAGGCCGATGCTCTATCCACTGAGCCAAACCGGCTAGGGCAAGTTTTATAATTTTTGCATGTACCTGTTTTGTTTTTGTTACACTACTTCTTGAAGAATCTGTCTTTCCCTATTGTGTGGTCTTGCCTTCTATCTTACACATTAGTTAACCATATAGCTTTGGACATTTTAAAAGTTGTGTTACTTCTTTTTTCATGTTGACTTGTAAAAGGTCTGTATAAATTATAGTGTGGGGAGCGGCCTCGGTTTGACAAGGTCCCGAGGAGACAGTCTTTCACAAGGTGGGCTGTCACACACTCTATCCCACTAAAGTTTAAGTTACTGATTTAGCTTGCTAAATGCCACATAAGCAGGAAAATTGTGCTGCAGCAGCTTAGCTTGTGAGAATAAGGAAGTAGTCTAGCTGAGCTTAGATCATGAAAGCGGGTCTCAGCCGGCGACTGAGACAAAGGATCGGAAAAAGGGAAGTTAGCCTAGACGGTTAGAGGAGAGGCTTGCACTGATCGAATCGAACGTTGCTTAAGTTCTGCTGAATGCATATGTAACCAGTGAGTGTATAAAAAGACTGTGTGAAATAAACTCGGGGCTGCAGTCTTGAGTTGTCAGTCCTCCCGATCCCATCTTTGTGCCTGTCTCTTTTCTCAATCCTCACCCCCCTTTCGGGTATTGTTCGACTGTAGTGCCGGCAGGCTCCGGCATTATAGCTATTAACTACTTATCAGATAATATGCTTTGGAGACCTTTTTTCCCATTTCCCTGCTTGTATTTTGAGTGCACTGACAATTTCCTTTAATGTGAAGTAATTTTTATATGGGGTTTAATGCCTTTTTAAATAAATTCTTTATTAAGGTATTACAAATGTGTCCTCATCCCCCCCCATTAACCCCCATCCTACCCACCCCGCCCTCACTCATGCTCTCATCCCCCTGTTGTCCATGTCCATTGGTTTGGCTTATATGCATGCATACAAGTCCTTTGGTTGATCTCTTCCCCTTACCCCCTCCCTCCCCTACTTCCCTTTTGGGCATTGATAGTCTGATTGCTGTTTCTCTGTCTTTGGATCTGTCCCTGTTCATCAGTCTATGTTGTTCTCTATATTCCACAAATGATTGAGATCATGTGGTATTTATCTTTCTCTGACTGGCTTATTTCACTTAGCATAATGCTCTCCAGTTCCATCCATGCTGTTGCAAAAGGCAAGAGTTCCTTCTTTTTTACAGCAGCATAGTATTCCATTGTGTAGATGTACTACAGTTTTTTAATCCACTCATCTGCTGATGGGCACTTAGGCTGTTTCCAAATCTTAGCTATGGTGAATTGTGCTGCTATGAACATAGGGGTGCATATATCCTTTCTGATTGGTGTTTCTGGTTTCTTGGGATATATTCCTGGAAGTGGGATCACTGGGTCAAATGGGTGTTCCATTTTTAGTTTTTTGAGGAAGATCCATACTGTTCTCCACAGTGGCTACACCAGTCTGCATTCCCACCAGCAGTGCATGAATGTTCCTTTTTCTCCACATCCTCTCCAGCACTTGTTGTTTGTTGATGATAGCCATTCTGACAGGTGTGAGATGATACCACATTGTCATTTTGATTTGCATCTCTTGTATAATTAGTGACTTTGAGCATGTTTTCATATGTCTTTCAGGCTTCTGTATGTCCTCTTTCGAAAAGTGTCTAGCTAGGTCCGTTGCCCATTTTTTTATTGGATTGTTTATCTTCCTATTGTTAAGTTTCATGAGTTCCCTGTAAATGTTGGAGATTAAACTCTTTTTTTTTGTTTTGTTGATTAAGATATTACATGTGTCCTTGTCCCCACGTTACCCTCTACACCCCCCCCCCCACTCATGCCCTCACCCCCCCGTTGTCCATGTCCATTGGTTAGGCCTATATGCTTGCATATAAGTCCTTTGGTTGATCTTTCCCCCTTACCCCTACTCTCCCCTACCTTCCCTCCAAGGCCCGACAGTCCAATCAATGCCTCTCCGTCTCTGGATCAGTCCTTGTTCATCAGTTTATGTTGTTCATTATATTCCACAAATGAGTGAGATCCTGTGGTATTTATCCGTTCTCCAGTTCCATCCATGCTGTGGCAAATGGTAAGAGTTCCTTTTTCTTCTTCCTCTTCTTAAAGAATACCTTTCAGCATTTCATACAATGGTGGTTTGGTGGTGATGAACTCCTTTAGCTTTTTCTTATCCGTGAAGCTCTTTATCTGACCTTCTATTCTGAATGATAGCTTTGCTGGATAAAGTAATCTTGGTTGCAGGTTCTTGCTATTCATCACTTTGAATATTTCTTGCCACTCTCTTCTGGCCTGCATGGTTTCTGTTGAGAAATCAGCTGACAGTCGTATGGGTACTCCCTTGTAGGTAACTGACTGTCTTTCTCTTGCTGCTTTTAAGATTCTCTCTTTATCTTTTGCTCTTGGCATTTTAATTATGATGTGTCTTGGTGTGGTCCTCTTTGGATTCCTTTTGTTTGGGGTTCTCTGTGCTTCCTGGACTTGTAAGTCCATTTCTTTCACCAGGTAGGGGAAGTTTTCTGTCATTATTTCTTCAAAAAGGTTTTCAATATCTTGCCCTCTCTCTCCTTCTGGTACCCCTATAATTCTGATGTTGGTACGCTTGAAGTTGTCCCAGAGGTTCCTTACACTATCTTCATATTTTTGGAATCTCTTTTCTTTTTTCTTTTTCAGTTGGGTATTTTTTGTTTCTTTGTATTTCAAATCTTTGCCTTGATTCTTGGGATCCTCTTGTCTGCTGTTTGATCTCTGTAAATTATTCTTTATTTCAGTCAGTGTATGCTTAATTTCTAGTTGGTCCTTTTTCATGTCCTCCATGGTCTCACTATACTTATTGAGGGATTCATTAAATTTATCGGCGGTTTCCATAAAATTCTTGAAAAACCTTATAAACGTGGCCTTGAACTCTATATCCAGTCATTTGCTTTCCTCCATTTCTGCCATTTGTGACCTGTTTCTTTGTCTCCGCATTTTGGCTGCTTCCCTGTGTTGATAGAGTGGCCCTGCACGCCAGGTGTCCTGTAGGGCCCAGTGGCTCAGCCTCCCCAGTTACCTCGGGTGGACACTCTTGGTGCACTCTTGGTGCCTTGGTTGTTGTAGGA